TAAGGCCGGGTCTACATACAAGTCGGAAGACACTTGTCGGACGCCGCTAGTCGTATGTCGTAACCGCTCGAAAACCCCGTCTACAATTAGTCGTCTGTCAAAGTCGTCTGTTGGCGCATGCGCACAACCTTGATTTTTACGTGTCGGCTACCGTGACAACCGGGAGTTGTTGTCGATTCGGAAATTGGTCAAGTCCCATGTTTTTACGGCAACTTTACGACAACGATATACATACAAGATGACGGAAGAAATTACGATAGATGAGGTCATTATTAATATTGTGCGAGATCACAAATTTGTTTATGACAAAATGGACGTTAATTATAAAAATGGTAATAAAAAAAAGAATGTATGGAAAACGATTGCATTTCAATTAAAAGAAGTTTATAATGTGAATATGTCAGGTAGGAAATATATGTTATTAAAATATAAATCAACTTGTTCTGTCAAATATATTAATCTTAAAACAATACTAATTTACGTGTTTTTTTATATAAGCCGAAAATATTGAGAAACGGTGGTCAGCACTTCGAGATATGTTTGGTCGCGAAGAAAGAAGAAGAAAACTGGCACCATCAGGATCAGGTAGAAGCGAAAGTAAGGAGTGGCACCTGTACCGACCACTACTCTTCTTGTCATCGCATATTGCTCACAGAAAGTAAGTAATTGATCAATGAATTATTTTTTGCTTTCTCATAGAAGAAGCTTTGTGATGGTGAAAAAAAAATTTTTCGAGATTTTGTATGTACGGATTTTTTGTACACGTATCTACTTCTACAATTTTTTAGATACCGGGTTGAAATTTTTCACACAAATAGAGTATCATAGAAAGTATGTTCTCCTCAATTTTGTATCATAGTTGTATTATAAACTATTTTATTTTATTCTTAGGACACAAGAATTGCTCATAAGAAAACCGTCAGAAGATTCGAGATTCCAACCAGTGCGCTTCCAGCAGGCTTGTTCTCAGCCAGTTGAGCCATCGAAAGAGCAGGAAGCTACTGTGGAAGAAGAGATATCGCAGGAGATATGGAATTCTTCAGAAATTGATCATACTTGCGATGAATCACAAATGATGGGTAAAAATAAATAAAAATAAATAAATAAATAAATAAAAATAAATAAATAAATAAATTTATAAATAAATAAATAAATAATTTATAAATAAATTAATAAATAATAAATAAATAAATAAATAAATAAATTAATTAATTAACCCTCAGGGTACGATCTGGGTTAGCGTAACCCGAGCCGAATTTTGAAAGTAGTGCCATTTTAAAGGAAGTGAATGGTGGGGGTCCGTACCGGGGGGGGAAAAATCTTTGAGGTAGCTACTATGTAAGCGCCAAGGGGCAGCGTCAGTCTACGCTTGGTGCGTAAGATAAACGAATTTGAAAATTAAACTCGGGTAGTCTACACCCAGCTGGTACGGAACGTTACAAAATCCGTGTTTTTCAAACAAAAAAAATTTGTGTTTTTCGAGTATTTGCTGCAGTAGAGTATTCTGGTATGTGTAATTTACTATTTTTTATATACTTTTGTGCATTCTAACCTCAAAATGATGCTCTGTAGCATACCAGCATAACGTATCCGTGCATGCAATTTTTGTTATTTATTTATATTATACTAATCAACAACATCCAAAAGAACTATTTTTACTTTAAGATATTTTTTTTTTGCGTTATTACGATAAATCAAGCAAGTAACGTTATATCGCTATCGCAAAAAAACGGGTATTTTCATAGTTAAAAAAAAATATACTTTTTGGAATGGATCAAAAAACGAATTCAGCCATTTCAAAGAACAACTTTTTAGCTTTCAAACGCGACTTAAAAAATGTCGATATCTTTTTTTTTCATAAAGTTATGCAATTTAAAAGAAAAAATGAATTTTTATGAAAATTTTTTGAGAATGGTTTACATTTTCAAATGTATCTTTGTTTAAACAAATAAGGTAATAAATCTACCAACGCCATTGTACTTTTGAGAAAATTTCCGATCCAAAGAAAAAAAAATTTGTTTCAATTGATAAATTACAGCCCGATATACAGTCAATCAAAGTCGCCGGGTTAGGCTAACCCATGTTCGTACGGAACGTAACTTTTTTATAGATCGTACCCTGAGGGTTAATTAATAAATAAATTTAAAATAAATAAATTTTAAAAATTCTAGACAATGATGCTCAATCTCTTCCTGAGTCTGTAACAAGACAATCCAGTTGCAGTAGCTCCAGCTCACAACTTCACAATTTCAACTTCAAGAGCACAACTTCAAGAGCATTAATTTCAAAGATGAAGCCAACGAGAACAATTATGCCGCCAATGGACGATTTCGCAAATCGAAAAAATATGAAAAATGCCCTCTTAGACGAACACCTTGTAGAGGCAGGTACTAAAATATCTGATGCGATGAATACCGTATCAACACTGATTGCAACAAATAAAGATAAAGAAAAGGATGGGTACATGCTCGCAATAGAAGAAGGATTGAAACATGTCCCCGTAAAAAGTAGAACCCAATGCATTATTGAGATTCTTCAGGTTATTGTAAAACATGAAATGAGAGAGTAAGATTATTAAGAACTTAGGGTGCCAT